CTTACTTGGCCTTTGTTTTCTCGGGCTGCTCGCTCGATCCTGCAGTGCGGCTTGGGCGCTCTCAGGAATCTTCTTTTGTGACGGCCCAAAAACCTCGAATCTGTAGTTGCTTTTTCGTCGATGTAGGTTAGTTGTTCAAAGATTTATTCGTTTTTTGTTGCTCTTGGAAATGCAGATAGTACTCTGGTATCACAGCGTACACTTCTCAGGGTCGCGCTGTCTCCTGGCACGGCCGCTCCAGACCCATTGCCATCTTGAGTCTCCTTCAAATATTATTTTAAATATCAATAACATTTATGTAATAGTAAGTATAAGCAGAAATGTTTGTTTAAGGTTTTTATTGTAGTAAAATATAGGAAACATATAATTTGCTATTTTTAAGTTTCAGTGGTATTTAGGATATTCACAATCTTGTGCAACCATCACCACTGTCCATCTCCAGAACTTTTTTGCTGTTCTAGACGGAAACTGTCTACCCGTTAAATAGTAACCCCCATTGCTACCTCCCTCAGCCACTGGTAACCATTATTATAATTTCTGTCTCTTTGAACTTACCTATTCTTCATATAAGTGGAATCATACAGTATTTATCCTTTTGTGTCTGGCTTATTTCAAGGTTCATCAAGATTGTGGCATATATCAGAATTTTATCCCTTTTTAAGGTTAAAAAATATTTCATTGTGTATATATGTACACCACATTTTGTTTATCCATTCATCTGTCAATGGATATTTGGTTTGTTTCCATCTTTTGGCTTTTTTGTATAATGCTGCTGTGAACATTACTGTACAAATATCTGTTCATATTCTGCTTTAATTCTTTTGGTCATATACCTAGAAGTGGAATTCCTGGGTAATATGGTATTTCTATGTTTAATATTATGAGAAACTGCCCAACTGTTCTCCACAGAGGTTGCACCATTTTACATTTCCACCAGCAGTGCACAAGGGTTCCAGTTTTCTCTACATCCTTGCTCATACTTGTTTTTCTGTTTTTTGTTTATAGCCATTCTAATGGGTATGAAGTGCCTATATCTTTGGTTTGCATTTTCCTAAATGACTAGTGATGTTGAACATCTTTTCATGTGCTTATTGCCATTTGCATATCTTTGGAGAAATGTTTATTCAAGTCCTTTGCCCATTTTTGAATTGGGTTTGTTGTTGTGGTTGAGCTTAGGAGTTCTTTGTTTTGGATGTTAATCCCTTATCAGATATATGATTTGCAAATATTTTTTCTTGTTCCGTGGGTTGTCTTTTCACTCTTTTGATAATGTCCTTTGACGTGCAAAAGTTTTCAATTTTGATGAAGTTCATTTTATTTACTTTTTCTTTTGTTCTCTGTGGTTGTGGGTATCTTATCCCAAAAATCATTGCTAAATCCATTGTTATGAAGATTTTCCCTAATATTTTCTTCTAAGAGCCATATATTTTTACCTCGTTGGTTCAGGTCTTTGATGCATTTAGAGTTAATTTTTGTGTAAGGTGTAAAGTAAGAGTCTTATCTTCGTTCTTTTGCATGTCGATATGTAGTTTCTCCGCAACATTTGTTTAAAAGACCAGAAATAATTTTTTTAAAGAAGCAAATTACTGTGCTGAGTGTTAATGCATTCATGTAAAAAAAGTTCGTGGTCAAATTCCATTGCATGTCCCCCCATGTATAAGGATAGATCTTAGTAGTTGTGTTAAAGAATTTGTTCTTCATGGAGCTACTAGAGTGAAATATGAAAACAAAGTTTTCATTTAAACGAGTTCGGCTTAGTTTTCTAAATTTAAGAATAATCTAGGAGAAATGCTAATTATTTTATCTCTTTATTTTAGTGATAAAAATAAACAGATAAAATACTTTCCCCTCTGTCTTTTTAAAAATTTCTTCTTCAGCAATGTTAGATATAAAAATTCAGAAGTTTTATTTCCTTTTTCAAGTGATAATATATCTGTAACCATTTCAAAATATTATTTCCTCTTGTGAATCTGTGAATGCTAGTTTTCCTCTGCTTCCACCTGTATGCCAGCAAGAAGCTTAGTTTCAACTAAATAAGGAAAGTTTTATTTTAAATATTATGACAAAAGTAGTATGTGCTCATACACATATTTAGAATACACTAAATTTAGGAAAACATTAAAGTATATAAAATAAGAAGTAGAAAGTTTTCACCTTCCTCTCACTCCCTAGAGAAGTATGTATGGCTATCTGCATGTGCAGGCATGCACCGCATAACCACGTTTTGGTCAACAATGTACTGAACATATGTCAGTGGGGAGTACCAGGTAGCCTAGGTGTGTAGTAGGCTGTACCATATAGGTTTGTGTAAGTATACTCTATGAAGTTTGCAAAACAATGAAATCACCTAGTGATGCGTTAAGAAATGCATAACTGTGTATTAAAATATATATACTTTTTACATGTGTCTTTTTAGCTTACCTTTCAAATTGAATATATCATAGGTTTGCATTTCTGAACATACAACTCTTTCAATACTATTAAATTGCTTCATGCATAGTATTCAATTTTTTTTTTTTCTTTTAAAAGATGACTGGTAAGGGGATCTTAACCCTTGACTTGGTGTTGTTAGCACTACACTCTCTCAAGTGAGCTAACCAGTTGGCCATCCCTATATAGAGATCCGAACCCTTGGCCTTGGTGTTATCAGCACCACACTCTCCCATGTGAGCCACGAGCTGGCCCTATAGTATTCTATTTTTAAGAGCAAGGTGCTGGCTGGTTACAGTGTGATGTTATGACACCAAGGTCAGGGGTTCCTATCCCTGAACTGAGCAGCTGCCAAAATAAATAAATAAATAAAATGTTTGTACCATTTCTCATACAGATGCACACAAGCAGCAATCATTTATTTCTTCTTCTAATGTTGGACAGTTATTCCAGATTTTTACTGGTATAAGTAGTGCTGCATTGACTTTTCTTTTATTTTTATTTTTGGCAGCTGGCTGGTATGGGGATCTGAACCCCTGACCTTGGTGTTATAAGGTTGCGTTCTGTTTTAATGTGCATTCTAGTCTTTGAGCATATTTTGAGAAATACCAAGAATTGGAATTGTGTCAAAGGGTAATGCAGATTTTAAAATTTGAACTAAATTAATTATAAAAAGATATACAGATGGTATGAAATTCAAAATGTATAAAGAGATGTAAATCAAGAGAAACTTTCACCCATTCACTACTGTCCCCTGCCACTTATGTTCTCTTCCTGAAGATGAGTCTGTGCGTGAGGATGTGTGTGCGTGTGTGTATAGAAGAGCTGGGTCAAAAGTTACTTATGTTTAAAATTTTGATAGATGTTGCCAAATTGCCCTCCTTGAGCTAGATAGGCTTCTAATTGGAATTGATTCAGATATGTAATAGTGATCAAAGTTGTATACATGGGCTTACATGTACAATGAGTCATCTAGTACCTTTGTCTTTTGAGTTGTGTGGTTGGTTTGTATGCTCATTATTAGTTTATAGTTTGAGAATTTGCATATCTCATGGGATAAGTAGCCACAAACAATGTCTAATTGGAATTTTTAAGACTTGATTGTGTATATTTGATTCACATCTATCTTTGTCTTGAAAATTGCTTTCTGCTTTTGTATTAAATATTTTAAGTACAATAAATTTGCAGATTTCCACAGTTATTGACACTTGGCTCTGAGATTACCTTCAAGAGGTGCAATTCTTTATAATGTGAGATGTAGAAAAGGGAAGAATAAATGATAAATGATTTCTCCTCCCCCCAGTGTAATTCTGATTCTGAAGATATAGGGTTTAGCTAGGATGCTTGAGACTGAAGAAAGCTTGGAGTAATTGTATTACAAAGATTATTAACTGCTTGAGAGAAGGCCTTTGCCTTTCTTCTTAAGAAAGAAGCTAACTTTGAGTAGATTTCTGCTTATGTTAATTCTTAACTAATTTGCAGAGCTTGCTTATTTTGGGGAAGCACAGTGGTGTGTGGAGAGACCACATAAATGTGTGTTTGTATTTTGTATTCACTTTGCATTAGCTCTGTGACTTTGAATAGGTTATTTAACCTTTCTGTGCCTCAGCTTCCTCATCTTTAAAATAAATGTGAGTAGCATCTGCTTCACATTATTGACAGAGTTAGAGATAATGTATGTAAAGCACCCAGCTTTGCTTGGCAATGAAGGAAACCTATAACATGGTAACTTCTGTATTTAGCTGTTATGAACACATAAGAACCTATTATAAAGTTAATACTTTTTTAGTACCTAGTGAATTATTATTGATCAAATTTCCTAACACACCCATTCTTTGTTTCTATTTTTCCTATAGGGTGAACTGCCCCATGATCAAGATGTGGTAGAGTATATAATGAATCAGCCAAATGTTGTTCCACGAATCAATTCTAGGATTTTGACAGCAGAGCGAGAGTACCTGGATTTAACAGTGAATAGTAAGGAGCATTTCAGGAACAACTTTGGGCTTTTTTGATTTGTGTTTCAGAATCTTTATATTTACTGGGTTATAATGTTCAGAAGATAACACAATTTTATGTTTAACTCATTGCACCTTGAGTTCATAATATGAGCTTCTAAAAATTCACAAGAATTTCCTTCTAAAGAAGAGAAATTCTTCCTGGGTAAAATCTTGTACAGTTTGAGAAATATTCAGTGCCATTTAAATGACAACTAACCAGGCATTAGATGATAAGAATGCACCTGTTGTTGGCTTCCTTACAGTCATAAAACAGTGAAGCAGTTCTCCTTTCTTCATTCTCTTTCCAGAGTCAGTCAGCAGTAGTGTCAACAAATATCTCAGCTTATTTCCCTGGGAAACTAAGAATGCTTTTTTAAAACATAGAAGCTTCATTGAGATATAATGTACATGCCATAAAACTCAACTTTTTAAAGTGTGCAATTTGTTGGTTTTTAGTATATTCTCAAAGTTGTGCATTCATCACTACTATCTAATTTTAGAACTTTATCATTACCGCAGAAATAATGCATGCACCCATTAGTAGTCACTCTCCATTCCCCCATTTCCTATTCCCTGGAAATCATTAAACTGCTTTCTCGTGTCTATGGATTTGCCTATTCTGGACATTTCATATAATTGGAAGCCTTTGTGTCTGGCTTCTTTCATTTAGCATGTTTTTAAGGTTCATTCATGTTGTAGTATATATCAGTATTTCATTCCTTTCTATGGCTGATTGATTTATTATATGGATAGTCCACGTGTGTTTATTCCTCTTTCGATAGACATTTGAGTGTTTTCCACAGGAGTACCTTTAAAATGCTAGATATGGGGCCGATCCTGTGGCTCACTCGGGAGAGAGCGGCTCTCCCGCTGCAGGTTTGGATCCTATATAGGGATGGCCGGTGCGCTCACTGGCTGAGTGTGGTGCGGGCGACACACCGATCCTGTGGCTCACTCGGGAGAGAGCGGCTCTCCCGCTGCAGGTTTGGATCCTATATAGGGATGGCCGGTGCACTCACTGGCTGAGTGTGGTGCGGGCGACACCAAG